GGGCCCGCAGACCTCTAACTACAGAAGGGTTACCGCCGCGAAAGACCGTTTCTCACTTTCACACGTCAAACTAATTATTCTACCGAGTGGGGACCAGATTTTTTGTTTTTCTTTGGTTAAATGTCAATTTTAGTCCCTCAATTTAAGGTTTTACATAATTTTCATCCCTTAATTTTTTTTGCACTTTTTAATCCCTTAATTATAGAAAATGTATTTTTTTAATTATTCCGTCAGTTAATCCGTTAAGTCTCTCTAAATCTACATATTTTTAGTCTCTCAACTTTTAATATATACATATTTTTTCTTCTTCAACTTAAAATTAAAGGACTAAAAAAGTACATATTGAAATAGACTTAATGATTTAAGTGATAGAAAACTTAAAAAAATATATTTTTCATAATTAAAGGATCAAAAAAATATAAAAAAAAGTTAATGAATGAAAATTATATAAAATCTTAAAATTAAGGGACCAAAATTAAACATTTAACCTTTTTCTTTTTATATATATCATAATTTGTACAGTTGTCCATCAGATGTAAATATATGTGTCATCACCAGCGGCCATTGTCGTTTATCTTGTCTAAATCCTGGTTGATTTTGGAGATTCAGAAATTCGCAGCTCAGGTGGGTAAGATCAAAATATTTTTATTTGTTTTTTTAAAATTTAACAATTATTGTCTGATAATTTGATCTGGGTGCACGGAAATGATGGATCTTTCTTCTGATCTTTCTTCTCTGACCCCATTTTTCTGCTCCTGAATTCAACCAGGGATCGCCCCAAATTCTAATTTATTGTATTGTGAAACCCATTTCCTAATGTTTCCAATTTAATGGGTTGATTTGATTGCTTTTTTTTTGCCTGTTTAATATGCCCTTTTACGAAATTGGAATTCTGTCAATGTTTGAATATGAAAATTATCTTTTATCTTGCTGGGTGTTGATTTATTTCCATGTTCTCTCTGAAGAAGCATTCAAATTTTCATTGAAATCGTATGATGAATGACTTTAACAGCATGTTGTTTGAAATCTCGCCTGGTATATGACAGTTTAGGGGGTTGTCATTCGTTTTGCAGTGGTGCTCGATTTAGGTTTACTAGAAGCATTCAAATTTTCATGGAAATCGTATGATGAATGACTTTAACAGCATGTTGTTTGAAATCTCGTCTGGTATATAACAGTTTAGGGGGTTGTCATTCGTTTTGCAGTGGTGCTTGATTAGGTTTAATTTACTCTGTTCGAAATCGAAATTACGATGCCTGTGCTAGTTGGTTGCTTGAAATGCCTGAGTTCTCCCAGCTCAAAAGTCATGAACTTGCTATAATTTACAGAAACTGATCTGACATGTGTTGAGATATATTCGATTCATATGACTTTCTGTAACTTTTTTTTTTTTTGGTAAAGGAGGAGATATAGAGGAGACAAGTTTTCTCAATTTTCATGATGGAACAAAGTGATGATTCTTTTAGGAATCAAATTTCAGCTCTTTTGCGAGCTATAAATGTAACACGATTCTTCAAAGAGGACAATGTTCCTTGCCAAATTGAAGAGGTAGTAGAGGGCAAGAACCCTTTCTATGAGATTATTTTTCATAATAGCCTGATTTTCTCCTGAAATCCTTTTGACTTTTCTCTTTTTCAATTTCTCAGGGTCTCTTTTTGGGCTCAATTGCAGCTGCTAATAACAAGAATGCACTCAAGAGTTCTAATATCACGCACGTCTTAACTGTCGCTAGTTCACTGAGACCTGCACACACAAATGACTTTGTGTACAAAGTCATTCCAGGTAGATGGAATTGCTCTTTTAATGATGTGAACTTGGTTTTCTATTTAGAATAACGTCTTTTGAACATTTGAAACTGTGCTTATGAAGCATTGTCTTTCCTCATCTTAGTGATGGTGTTCCTCAGATGGTAGTCTATTTCAGCTCTTTTGCTCCTGAGCAGCTAGTTACTCTTTCTAATATATGAGAATGTTGCCTACAAGAGTCAGTATCACTATAGCTTATTTATACCTTTTAGCCATCTGTTTCTCATGCATAATCAATTTTTGCCAAAACATGCATTCAACTGGATCCATATGAACTAGTATCAATTTCCTATCTTATACATGACTCACCTAATCTAAGTTCTTTAAAAATGGAACCTTGTGGCTTCTGCTCACATAATAAGGCCATATTTACTCATTGATGAAAGGGCTGTTCGAGTTTTTTTAACACATTGAGAATCTTGAAGAAGCATTAACAATAACTCAATTTTTCTCTCTGTAAATTGAGGTAGTCTTGGACAAAGAAGATACAAATATAACTCAGTACTTTGATGAGTGCTTTGATTTCATTGATGAAGCCAAACGACGGGGTGGTGGTGTACTTGTTCATTGCCTTGTCGGAAGATCCAGGAGGTAATTGTTTTCCTTTCCCATCTAAGTGACTGGGTTGCTTGTTTTAAGGAGTCTGTTTTCAGTTACAGCAAAAAAGAGTTCTACCAGGACATTCACTCATAATGGGTGTTTGACATGCTGAACATATGGCCAATCTTTTTGTTTATCCTGACTAGTATTTATGCTTATTTCCTGAATCTGGCTGGCATTCATTCTGGACACTAATCTCTCAGAACTCTAATTATTTGAATGGCTTATGAATGATTTTGGTTCATACATCTGGTCTATTAGAACTCCTGATCAACTTAATCCTCTAGGCTTCTCTATTTTTAAACTATATTGAACTTTGGTAAACTGTTGCATTTTCTTGGAAAGTTTATCTAAAAGCAAAACAAAGTTTTGTTTTGTTGGCAAGTTTATCTGAAGGAATATTCATTCCTAAACTACTACTTTGAATTGTTAGTCTTAAAAACTGTTTATTCCACTTGCTGTGTCATGCAGTGTTACCATAGTTGTTGCATATCTTATGAAGAAACGTGGTATGAGCCCATCACAAGCGTTGGAATATGTTAAGAGCAAACGACCACAAGCAGCACCAAACTCTGGTTTTCTTTCACAATTGCAAGAGTTTGAGAAATCACTTCAAAGTGCATAAATCATGTAGACTGCAATTACACTTGTCTTAGTCTTGTGCCTAAGGAAAAAACTTACACGACAAAATCCCAAAATTGCACTCTGTTACTATCCATGGAACTCTGCTTGTCAGAGAAGTTTGTATCATCAGATTCTTGTTCTCTTGGTCTTTTTGTCATCAAACTTCCAAGAAGCGTCCTCAACATTGTAAAAGTCTTTTAGAGTACGTTTTGCGATAACTCGAACAGAAAGCTTCTTTTGTATCTTGGTTCAAGAAATCTATCAAAGGAAACTATATTTTAAAAAATTGTGTATATGAATTTGGCCTGTACCTTTAAAAAGCTCTAAACTTTACATCCTTAAGACTTTTAGCCCTCCAAGTTACAAGTCAAGGACTTTAACCCTTTAACTTACCATCTATGAGGGATTTAGCCCTTCGGCTAGCTTTTTAATTAATTGTTAGTTTAATATTTTGGGTTTTTTAACAAGTTCTTTAACTTTCTTAAATATTGCACTTAAGTCCTAAAATTTCTAAAACCCGAGCCTCTAATATCAAACTCTATCTATGACATAAGTACACAAATAAACTTAAATTATTACACAAATTGAACAGTCTTAACACACTTTATGTTGCTAATAAAGATAATATTTGGTTAACATTATTTAATCTTTTTAAATTTACTTTTAAGCCTGCTATAAAATTTTCCAATTATTGAATAAGTTTTGGTAGATGATATTCTTCAAGATCTTCTATATCATTAATCTCTACTAAAAATTTTATTATTTTATTCCTATAATATTCATATTGGTGATTATAGAATGTACATCATTGACATAACCTAAGATAAACTCTCGCATTACTATTAATTTCTACATGCACCGATAGTCCTTTCTGTTTCATTAGCTCTGATAGTAGCTTCTAATAAATTTATTAATTCTGTCTATAAATCCTAATTAAAATATTATTTCTTCTAGGCTCTCAGTACTTCCCAATTGATCCCACTCTTTAGCGTTCTACTGACGTCTAAATCTTAGTCTTTTTAATGATGCAATCTTTTCATTAAGCTTTCTATTATTACTCAATTCTAAAGCATTAACTGTAATTGCCAATCTTTGTGATATGGAATTGATAGACTAATACCCTAATTAATATTTCCAGTTTTGCTTTTAGTTCAATTAAATTACTTTCTAGGTCTTTCTTTTCACTATTTAGATTACGTTGCTCACCATACAATCTATGGTAGGTATTACTAGTAGCAAGACTCAACAGTTCTTCTAATTATGCATATAATAATTCTTTGGATAGTTCTTACCTCTAAACTAAAGCCCACTTCACTTCGTCTGTCGCTCCTTTGAAGATCACAAACTCAAATTACTGTGCCTCACTTTAAGAGCCTAATGCCAACACGCCTTTCTCATGGCTTTCAGCTCGGCAACAAATAGCTCAAAAAGTTCCATACACAAAGTTTTGAGCTGAATAATTTTTTAAGATTTTAGGAGACAACAACTTGGTAAGATTTTGGTAGAGGGTTTATAGAACTAAACACTTAGTTATATTATAGATAATGTAGGTAATACTCACCTATTATTTTGCACACTTGACACTTAAACTCTAAGGACTCTTAGAACTCCTTTTTCACGCTCAATTCTTTGATTCTCTAATTCTTCCACATCCTTACAAGACGCAATCCATGACCTTTTTATAGGCAATATGGGCAGACTTCAACTTCAGATTTCACATATAGTTTACTAAGAGATAACGTCCTAGTACAATTATTCAAATTTCAAATCGGACTTCAAACCTTCTTGAAGGTAGTACAATTCTATAATGGTCCTTTTTCTTATGAGTGGCTTTTATTTTTTGATCATGTTTTCAATATTGTACTTCTCACCTATGATATTTTCCTAGTAAGAGCTATCACAATAGTTGTCGTCTTCTAAGATATTTTCTTCATTATTGGGCTCTATTATCATTTCCACCTCCATGATCTTGAATGTTGACTTTTCTTTGGCTGTTAAAGATTCTTCTTCATCCTATATTGTGGCTACTTTTGCTTCCACATTTGCACCTTGGTTTATTGTTTTTACCAATTCAAAATATCTTTGCATGTGGTTTCTACACTGATTTGTCATTTCAAGGGTTATGTTTTCCACATCATTTTTGAATCTCTAGGTTGCTAACCAGTTTGTTGGGAACTCTTGCATTTTCTTTTGAAAAATTATTCTTTTAGTAGCTGCAAATGTTTTCCATCCTAGATACTCGTTTTCTTTAAGAATTGTGACAATTTTTATCAATGCTTTGGCCTTTGCTCTAGCAGGAAACTCTCTCTTTTTCCTCATAGGCCATTGCTTCTCTTCGTGTTGGAAGATTCCATCCAAAATTCTTTTATTTAACCTAAAACTAATTGATAATATGTGGAATGGCCTTATATTTAACCCACATGGTTATTTGTTATATTCTCGATATGTCCCCTCCAATGCAAGTATGCTATGAATGTCAAGTTTTATCATATGGCTTAATATGCTCCCTTACATGCAAGCCCGATATCAACTTTGAGTCCTGTCAAGTGGGCTAACAATGGGCTTCCAAGACAAAACCTGGGCTCGAACACCATATGAAAATTGTGCATGTGGACTTCAACACAAGGCTTGCACCCAATCTAAAACCAATTGACAATAAGTGGAGTAGCTCTCCTTATATTTAATCCACAAGGTTTTAGGTTGGAGGCAAACCTTATGTTGAAGCCCACATGCACAAATTTCTCATGCTATCAATGCCCAAGTTCTATCCTATGAGGCCTATTGTTAGCTCACCTAATAGGTTCCAAAGTTTATGCTAGGCTTGCATGTAAGGAGGCATATTAAGCCACATGACAAGACTCGACATTCATACCAGACTTACATGTAAGGAAGTGTGTTGAGTGAGAAAATCCCACATCAATGATATAATAAACTTATGGGTTAAATACAAGGAGAGCTACTCCACCTATTGCCAATTGGTTTTAGGTTGGAGGCAAGCCTTGTGTTTAAGCCCACATGCACAATTTTCTCATCCTATTCAGAGCCCAAGTTTTGTTTTGTGAGGCCTATTGTTAACCCACCTAACAGGATCCAAAGTTTAGCCCACCTAACAAGATCTAAAGTTTATACCAGGCCTGCATGTAAGGGGGCATATTAAGTCACATGACAATACTCGACTTTCATACTAGACTCGACTTTCATACGAGACTTACATGTAAGGAAATGTGTTGAGTGAGAAAATCCCACATCAATGATATAACAAAAAAAACTTGTGGGTTAAATATAAGGAAGGCTACTTCACCTATTACCAATTAGTCTTAGGTTGGATGCAAGCTTTATATTGAAGCCCACATGTACAATTTTCTCAAAAGGATGCATAACCATTAGAAACAAGAGAAGGGTACCTACATTAATCAAATTGAAACTAAACCCTCATCTCCTTTCTCCAAGTTTTTCATTAGCAACAAGAAGCAATATTTCATGAAACATCAAGACATCTGTCTCACATAAGAATATTTAGAGGAAAAGCAAGGTAGAAATTAAAGAAAAAAGCTCATGAAACTTTTATCAGAAATAAAGTCCCTGAATTTAGGGTTATCAATATATTTTTTTTGTTGCCTTTTGTAGAATTTATATTGATAGTGAAGACAAAGAACCGTTGGTGAAATTGGTGGGAACCATTGTAGTTTGTTATGGCAGAACCAACAATCACTGAGGAGAAGTGAAATACTAGAAATGGTAAGTCCTTTTCTAGTCTTAACGCCAATGTGAAAAATTGGAAAAAAAAAATTAAATTACTCATCCTCTAATGTAAGATTTCAATTTATTGATGGGCGTGTATATAATAACAATTGCAAATTAAAATTTACTAGAAACCAAATCATCAATTCAAAGAAAGAAAGAGATTTAAAATGAGTCCCACACAAAAGTCCTAAATACATACACTATAGGGGTGGTGACCACCCCTAAGGTTAAGGAGTGCCTCCCCATTCCTATCCTAGCAAATTGTGAGGCTCGAGATTCTTATAGGTATTTTTAGTGGGATAAAATTTGCCAACATTCCCATTATCTATAGGAAATGGATTGTGAATTGTCATTCCTGTCAATTATATTATAAAATTAAAATTGATGTGATGAGCCTAAATTTCATACAATTATACATGGCTTTTTAGTCATGAATTGTAGTCTTTTATATTTTATTGAAATGATTTTATTTGGTTTTACATTGCTTTTATCATTCTTTATAGGTAGAGGGTAAAACTAAAGAAATCTAGAGTAAATGGGCTGAAGTGACAAAAGTTGAAAATATCAAGTTTGATTCCATGATTTCCCCATTTCAAAGACCAAAATTGAAATTTTCTTTCCGCATGCACGTGGCACAACATTGTGGGCTTTATCTATAAAGATGGGCTTTAAAAAGAAGGGCACACGGAGTTTTCAAAAGCAGGGCACATTGTTGAATATAAAAAGGGGCAGTCGCTGAAGACTTCAAGGAGAGAGGAAATACTTCAAAGAAACCAGGGAGGCAGGCGGTAGAGAGCTTTGAGGCGAGTTTGAGGCAGAGCTTGCGCAGATTCTGTGTGAGTGACGGTAGACGCAAAGGTAGCCATTGGGACACCTCAATCGAAACAAAGGGGACACGCGCGACAGTGAAGGGCTACAGATCTGAGTTTCACAAATTGGGTTTTTGCTCTTCTAAACTTATTTTCTCCTTTGTTTGGATATGGAATTGTGGTTCATCAACTTAATCTCAGATTTTATCATGTTTAGTATGAACTAATTTTGCCATCTAAGGCTACGATATAGCCTAATCAATTTAATATAGAGTTTCATGATTTTTATATTTTCAAGGGATATTATTTCATGTAGAGTATATATTATTATTCTTAATGCTTTTTAATGATTGGCCACAATTAAAACTGATTTGAAGAGCATAATTGAGACTGAGAGGAGATTTTATGCAATAGCTTTTAGTAATATATACCATGAATTGAATGAAAGCCAGAGATGGACCAACGTGATTTGTGCAGCATTAGTGATAAGTGGACTTAATTTTCTACGTAAACTAGGGATTTTCATAGAACATAATGCGTCTTTATCTATTTAAATTCACATAGAGATATAGTGGGTTAATAGGTAAAGATAGGTTTGGTATAACTTGAGAAAGTATATCGAATAAATTAGGAAATCCCGCTGTCACATGAATGATAAATACCTTGGAAGTATATTGATATAAAATTCTATATTAGTTGATGATGGTGAAGTCGGATGCCTTAGACTTTTAATTCTTGGTGTTACTCAAAGTTAATTTAGTTTTTCTTTAATTAGTTTAGTTATTTACTTTATTCAAATCATTTAATTTCAATTGTTCAAATAAAATTAGAATTCATTAATTTTGGTACTTAATTAATCTACGGTCTCTGTGGGACGATACTCTATTTTCATCATTATATTACTTGAACAGACTAGTACACTTGCTAGAGTGAAATTAGCTCATCATGATGTAGAGAGCATAATTGAGATTGAGAGGAGATTTAATACAATAACTTCTAATAATAGATATCATAACTTGAACAAAAGTAGAGATGGATTAA